GATCAGTTCCTTAAAAAGATTTGTTAACTGAATCGTTCAGTTTATGCCGTTTATTTGTGCAGCATGTCAGCAACTAACAGCTCCACCTCCAGCTAGATAATAGTTGGAATAGCAGCTCTGTTGATTGTGTGCAGCTAGTTTGAGAACTTTAGAAACGAATAAAGATGAAGTGTTGACTTATTGGGGTCTTATTCCGAAAGTCAAACAGAGCTGAATAAAACGTCAAAATGCTGCTCTGCTTCACTCTTCACCAAAACCACACCTTGTCTTGATTGATAGAAAATATCAGCTGAGTTTTTTAACTCCAGCAATATTTACAGTGCATCCATAGCAGGTGTAACTTCGCTGTTATGCATTCTTTGCATCACAGCGCTCCTGAACGCACCTCTACGTAGGGATAACAGTCTATAGAGTGAGTGCACCGATAGAAATAGATGAGATTTGATGTCTGAGGTTATGTGAAAGATTTGACGAAGTTTGGTGACCCTTTTATTTAAAGACGTCTGCCACTATAACCTCAATAATTTTTAAATGTTTAAAAGTCACATTAGAATCTCAACTAGCTTTGTGTAAATGTTTTTGTTCTACCTTAGTTTTCATTTATTTATTTATTTTTTTGTAATTTAAGTTTTTTAATAAAAGCTGCTCCTGGATGATGAAGAAGGGAAAAAAGTGTCTCAGTATAATTCTTGCGGCTGAGGTTAGCCCAACCATCAACACTGAGTCTACCTCTTTTGTGAGCCGGGGTATTGCTGTTTTGTCTCCAAGAAGACATAGAAGAGGACATAGTGGGAGACTGACGTCTATCCGTGTCTCTAGGAGTTTAAGTATTTTGTCCCAGAATGGTTTGACCAAAGCTCGCTCCCATATAAGACGTAAAAAAGCAGCTGTTACTTTTTTAAACTTCCAGCAGACATTAGTGGTTTTGAAAGAGGAATCTCTAGACGTCCGTAATGTCGTCTGAAAGTGACTCTTTTCCACCTGAGAAGCAGCTTCGCCTGTAGAGACGTTCTGTCCAGCTGAACAGGAAGGTGTTAGACTGAATCCTCATGTTCCACAGAGCTCCATGATGATGCATTTTAAGCAATAAAATGTTGAGTTTATTTTTCCAACAGAGAATTGATTTATTTGCATTTAGCTGCATTTTGACTTAAAGTTAGTCTATCTGCAAATTTCTCCATCTTTGGTCCAACGACTCGATTAATGATCCGAATAAAAGATTCTGAACATAACAGTCAGTTTGAAGGCGTTTGTCTGGTACTGGTGCTGAACTGGTTCCACATTAACAGAAACACTGGTGTTCAAACTATCTGGAAATAAATATCCAAATATCTCAGAATCCTGATCTGTTAATAGAATAGAATAGAATAGAATAGAATAGAATAGAATAGAATAGAATAGAATAGAATAAAGCTGATTAGAGTAGAATAGAGTAGAACAGAACAAATTAGAATAGATTAGATTAGAACAGAACAGATTAGGATAGAATAGATTAGAATAGATTAAAATAGATTAGAATAGAATAGATTAGAACTGAACAGATTAGAATAGATTAGATTAGAATAGAATAGAATAGATTAGAACTGAACAGATTAGAATAGAATAGATTAGAATAGAATAGATTAGAATAGATTAGAACAGAACAGATTAGAATAGAATAGATTAGAATAGATTAGAATAGATAGAATAGAACAGATTAGAATAAAATAGATTAGAATACAATAGATCAGAATTGAACAGAACAGATTAGAACAGAACAGATTAGAATAGAACAGATTAGAATAGATTATAACAGAACAGATTAGAATAGAACAGATTAGAATACAATAGAATAGAATAGATTAGAATAGATAGAATAGAACAGATTAGAATAAAATACATTAGAATACAATAGATTAGAATAGAACAGAACAGATTAGAACAGAACAGATTAGAATAGAACAGAATAGAATAGAATAGAATAGATTAGAATAGATAGAATAGAACAGATTAGAATAAAATAGATTAGAATAGAACAGATTAGAATAGAATAGAATAGATTAGAATAGAATAGATTAAAATAGAATAGATTAGAATAGAATAGATTAGAACAGAACAGATTAGAATAGAATAGATTAGAATAGAATAGATTAGAATAGAATAGTGTTCTTCCTACTGTGTTTTATGCCTTAAATGCTTCCTGGTTCTCGGATAGATCCACCTGATCTAGAACCTCTGTTCCGTTTGGACCCGCTGGTTCTGATTTACTGCTGCTCTCTGCAGCAGAAACCCCATCAGGACGTTTTATGGCTGCTGGGGGGGCGGGGGCGGGGGGGCTCTGATTGTGTTTGGAAATAAAGACGCTCTTCTTCAGGATCTCATTATGTTTTAGCTGCTCAGAAGCAGTTTTTACTTTCTAAGTTGCGTCTCATTAGTTTAATCACTGAGGCTGAAGAAAACTAAACTAATCTGGATCAGTTAGAAGAACCGTGACCCGCTGCCCACACTCTAACTCTTTAACTCTATAAGAGGGTCTGCTACCTTTGGGTTTGGAGGATAACATCTTTTTCCTTAAAAATAATCATTTAATGAATTTAGTGTTAATCTGTTAAAAACAAAAAAAACAACAATAATTTTTGTTGCGATGACTGAGTCTGGGAGCGGCCAT